CGTCCGTCCCTCCCTCCCTCCCTCCCTCCTTTCTTCCTTCGCTGCCTTAATCCCTCCCCACTCCGCTGCGGGATCACCGTCCCCTCGCCGCCTGCCTGCCGAGGGGCCAAGCCCCTCCGCGTCTCCCGCCCCGGCCGAGGGTGGGCTTTCCCGAGGGCCTCAGAGCCCGATGCCCGGCCTTGGGCAGCCGTTGGGGCCGGTCACAAAGGGAAAGAACTATCCCCTCCTTCCCCCTCTCCCCTCCCCGCAACTTGCCACTACGAAAAACGCCGCCGATAAAACACCGATAATCGCCAAAAGACGTCACCTGGGGTGAGCCGGGGGAAACAGGCCTGGCTAATCCTGGCACAGCTTTCTGGCCTCCTGCCCTTCGCTCGGTCTCTGCCCCCAGCCCGTGTATTTTCAGATGGCAGTGGCCAGGCCGGTAGATGAAGCGTAAAATGGATTTGCTCGGTTTTAAAATAAATAGAAGAGGAAGCTACTCTTCAGGATTTTCAACCTTTTCACCAGATTTGTGGGTGTATATGTAGGATGCCGGAAGAGAAGTTCTGGTATCGTGTTAGCGTTTTTTTCTTTATCATCGGGAAACGGTGTCAGGTGGGTTTCTCCCAGAGGAGAATAGATGTAGTAAAAATTGGATACCTGTGTTAATAGCAGGGAAAACTCGGAGGTGTGCCAGACACTTTGGTAGGCAATCCAGCCTGGGAGGTTAAATCGGGTTAAAAAATGAAGTTTCATTTCCAAATACAACAAAATGGAATGTTCTGTCTTAGGCAGTGGGTATTTGAAAGAGGGATCCCCGCTGAAAAATGGGAATGATTCAGGGGAGGAGACAGATTGCTCAGCAGTAGCTAGAAGCAAATTCCTTCCTTGGTATTTGTTCTGTTTACTCTTACAAAGTGCAGCCAGTTAAAGTTGGTGGTGGGAGGGACTGTTCTTCCTTCCACGAAGTGGAAGGACTAAAATCTGTGTGTTGCTGGCTTAGAAGAAAGCCTAGACTTGAGGAAAACTTCCGTTTGATGTGAGGGCGAACACGTTCTGCTGCATCAGCTTACACCCAAAGCAGACAAGGTCTCACGAGTGTCCTGGCTAATGACGCACCAGTTCAGCCCAAGCAGATTACTTGTCCATATGGGTCACGTTTTGCATTGATCTTGCTTCTACTGCAGCATTTTGTTACCTGGCACTGCAGCTAGTCAGTGGACAGGCACGCTAGAGCTATGCAGCTCCCTTCAAGCTTCACAACAGAGCAGGTGCCCTTAGAGATCCCATTTCAGTGCTGCCTTTGAGGAGTGCCTGAATTTGAGTCCCGTTTACAGTCAAGACGCTATACAACCAGCTTTTCTAGCTGTCAGGGTTATTTCCTCATGTTTCCCAAGTTGAACCACTCCTGATACATCAAAGCGACCAGCAGGAGGTGCAGAGGGCCTTAGTCATCTGAGTGCACGGTTCGCTTTCAGACTGCCTGCCTGGTTTTCTGGTGTTACTCCTTTAACTGATGATCTGTTTAAAACAGAAAACATGACAACCAAATGTGTATTCCCCAGTAAAAAAATCTTCAGGTTCTTTTCTTTCTAGAACAACCAAAGAAAATGAGCAAGATACTCAGTTTGTATCACTTGCAGCACAGAATGTCTCTCACTTTGGTTACAGCTTTACTGTTATTTGTATCATTTAGTTGTGTTTTGAATTTTCCCTGGAGTGGACAAGTTCTTATCTTTTTTTCTCCCTTGCTTTCTGAAGGCATCCAACTATAGAAAACCTGGCTTAAGTACAGCCCAACGGAAGAAAAGTGGCTTGAAACCTGAACTTACAGAAGAGCAAAAGCAAGAGATAAGAGAAGCTTTTGATTTGTTTGATACTGATGGATCTGGAAGCATCGACATAAAAGAACTGAAGGTTTTGAAATTTTTATTTATTTTTTTTTTTACTTAGATGGGAATACCTTTGGTTTCAGAATTCTAGCTGCTTTTTCTGTTTGTCCAGAAAATTGGTTTGGATTTTTTAAAATAGTTTTGGAGAATGAACAAGAGTAAAGGCTTGTCATGACTGAATTTGCGGTGTACTACCTGGTTAACCTGAGAAAGTTCTCTATGTAATGCTTCAGAGCAGACAGGCTTCTCTAATACATGGGTACTAGGTCAGATAGCTTTGAATATCTGAACATTAAAAGAATAAACAGTTCCTCTGTTTAGGTACACACAGTACACAGTTCTCCTGACTGGCTAAGATCACCATTTCTGGGAATTGGACTTCTGTTGCTCTGGGATGAATGTCAGAATATCAAATTTTTTCTTCATCTCAGAACTAAACACAGTTTTTGCAGACTCAGGAAATATATAACCATATTATCATATATGCAATCCAAAAATTACCTGTTTTTTAATTTAAAAAAAAAGGACAAAACAGAGATCTGAGTTGCATTTCAGTAGCAGTTCAGGTATTGCTTGCATGCACATGCATACACACAGTAGTACACGGGGGGGATTAATCTCAGCTCTTTCACTGTGTCTGATAATTATTTTAAGCGTGAACCTTTTATCTTAATTATCTCCTTGAGCTTGATTTCTCGCGTACACACCCTGCCTCAACTTCTGCATGTGTAACCTAGAAGCATGGGTTACCTAAGCCTATGGCTTATCTCAGGATTTATTTGGAAGTACTTATGCTGGAGGAAAGCATGTTCTCTGAACACAGATGATACGTGATAAGAGACTGGTCTTTAAATGGACTGAAACACTTTAGCCTCAACTATTTAATGCTATGTTTTTCTTTTTCAAAATTAATTTAAAAGAATGGATATTTTACAAGAGAAAGTGTTCCTTTCTGAAAGACAACATGGAACATTTTCAGTTGTCCCACTGTAAGAAACTTGTCAGAAAACACATTTCAGTTAAATGTAAAGTTTCTGATGTGTTGGCACTTTCCAGCAGAAGAGCATTTAGCAAGAAAATTTCTGCCTAATAGTAACTACTGATTTCCACTAGAACATACAGGAAGAACAAATGCTCACAGTTCAAATCTTCCTCTAGTTACATGTTCTTGAAACTTCAGTCAATGAATTAAACACACTGGAAGCATTGGCACGCCAGGACTGTGAAATGACTAATAGACACCCAAGTAACAAAATCATTTCTCTAGGCTGGTGAAATGCCAGAGCCTAGTTTTAAACCATGTTAATAGTAAGCATTTGTGCAAATATCTACAAACTGTTTTTACAGTCATACTCAACTAGCACAGCAGTCAGGCTTGGCTTTGCTGAGGCTGAGACAGTTAGGGAGTATTGTCATTTCCCTCCTCCTCCTGCTTCCTCCTCTCCACCTCCTAGCCAGAAGTGCCAAGAGTTATGCAGATAGATTTCTTCTCTCTCTGTCTACTGGAATATGTATGTTAACTGCACAGAATTCTGAGTATTCTGCCCTTCAAATGGAGTGAGATCACATCTCTAGTCTCCAACCTCCACTGAAGACCTGTTTTGATAATCCAGTCCCTTTAGGAACTATGTAGGTTGGAACATTTACCTAATTCAGACACAAAAAGGTTCTCCTGGTTTCAGAAATACATCCATGTTCCTCATGGATCTAAACACAAAATATGTCTGAGTCTTAAGAATAACAAACCTATGCTGTTACTGTTTGGAAAGATGAAACAAGCTGGTAAGAGATGTCAAGATGTTTTCATTGCATTACATTATTATTACAGTTTTGGATGAGGAAACTAAACAAGTTTTAGTGCAGCTGCTGGCACTACACTTGTGGTGGCCTCCTAACTGAACTGCTTTTTGACACAGGTTGCGATGCGTGCCTTAGGCTTTGAGCCAAAGAAGGAAGAGATTAAGAAAATGATAGCAGATATTGACAAAGAAGGAAGCGGCACCATTGACTTTGAAGACTTTTTGTCTATGATGACACAAAAAATGGTAGGGTTTCTTAATAGAAATTCTTGTGAAGACATAAAAAAATACTAGAAAGCATAATCTTGGTGTCTGGTGTTTTCTAATTAATACCTTTTGTTTTAGAGTGAAAAGGACTCAAAGGAAGAAATCTTGAAAGCTTTCAGGTTATTTGATGATGATGGGACAGGAAAAATTTCATTCAAAAACTTGAAAAGAGTTGCCAAGGAGCTGGGAGAAAATTTAACTGATGAAGAACTTCAGGTAAATTGTCATTTCCCAGAGCTTTTCTAACAGGCATCGATCGATCGTGTAGCTCCTAAGGATTGGGAGGAAATTTATGTCTCTACAGAAAGGGCTGAGAGGTCAGAAACACCAGAGCCATCAAATACACAGTTGTCACATGAAGTGCTTCTGAGACATTGTTGCTTTAATGAAGATCTTGTGTTCAGAGTCCAGTGCCTGATCAAATGTACAATGTGTTTTGCAGGAAATGATTGACGAAGCTGATCGAGATGGAGATGGAGAAGTGAGCGAGCAAGAATTTTTGAGAATTATGAAGAAAACTAGCTTATATTAATATTTGTTGCCTTGCTGTACAGTGGCTCCAAAAGATAACCTAGAAAAGACTTTAAAAACTGGGCTTGTGTCTCCTGCATGTTTTCTGTCATAGAAAGAAAGTATGAAAGGACAGATATTTGGTTAATTCTTTTTCAGCAAAGTTAATTGGGGAAGGGAGGGCTTCAGCACCCATAACCGTAGAAATGAGATACTGCAGAAGTGAGAAAGAAGGATGACCTGAGCCTGCAAGGCAGGGTCCCTTACCCTCCCCTTCAACAATTTCACCCATTGCCACTGGGGGTGAAGACCAGCTACTTAACTAAAAGACATCTCACTTGAGGTGTGAAGATACCCACTGCTGCTAGGAAAGGCCAGTTTTGACTTTCCTAAGGCTACAGAATGAATGTATGAGCACAGTATTTTTATTCCTTTTAAGGATTTTAGGTTATCTTTTGGTATTTGTCTCCACCTGTTTATTTCCATGAAAGACTAAAACCAACTGCGTAGCTGTCTGTGTTTTTGTATGAAACACTGTTTTCCCAAGCCAAGTTGTTTTGGGGCCTAACAAGAAGCAAATGTAGATCACCAGATCTGGTTCTTCATTTGGAGCTGTGTGCCATCAGTAGATGTTCTTCTGTTTATCCGATCATCTGAAAACCTAGTTTACTTGAATGTAACCTGCTTGGATTATCAAAGCTTAGTGCAGAACCGGTCAGTACCCTGTGCCATTGTTCTTACTCCCAAGACATTACAGAGCTATTGTTATGGCAGGATTTTAGGTACCTATAAAGTTCATTTCTATGGTACACCACGGTAACTTTTATCTTTGGCTGTTTATAGCCAAACTGCAGGGAGGACTTGCGTTTCAAATGAAAAAACACCTCACCTGGGGCATCATGAAACACTGAATATATTTAGATCCATGCAATCCAAATTCATTCCGGACATCACAGGTTTGAGCTTTTTTAGAAGTATCTTTTTGGAATGTTTTTTGCATATACTGTCAGTGTAGGACTTACTGGAGAGCTGCATTTTCCTTCTGTACTGTGGTGACAGAGCAGTGATGCACACTGTGACACCAGGTTATGTGGTTGTGCACGAGGGTTTATCCTTGGGTCCTGGTTAGACAATAAGCTTCAAAACTGCAGGGAAATGGCATAATCCTAAATCACATCTTTCTGTAAAACGTGCCTGAAAGAGAGTTTGTTAGTTCTCAGAGTCAAGTGGCAAGTAGGTAAGCAAAATGCCTGAAGGTTTCCCTGAGAAGAGGAGGCCAAGAACAGTATTCCGCCTGCATCTGATATGATACCTCTTTTCTTCAGATGGATTCTGCTGCTTGATAGCACTAAGGAGGTTTGTAGAGGAAAGGAAGAGCCAACTCCTGGACCAGCTTTTCAGCCTTGGAGCTGTAAGGGCCCAGCAGGGGGAGAATTGGTGTCAGGAGCAGAAACAAGTGTTCATTTACATATTTTCTCAGTGTGTAGATGCGGACCCGGCACTTTCTGCCTCAATTCTCCAAATTTTCTGCCCTGAACACCTCTGAACAGACCCTCTCTAACCTGTGCAGAAGTAGCCTTAAACCTGTGGGAGAAGAGGGATTGTGTAGGACCCTGGAAAACTCAAGAGACCTGTGAAGTCCCCTATTAACATATTAAGTGGCAGTGTATGTAACCTATAGTACTGTAAGAGTTTTAAAATGACTATTAACTTTGTATAAGTGTGATATAAAACTGTTTTGCAAGTTAAGGACTTCGTGTGCTTTGTAACTTGGTGTGCTTACTACGAATTTTCAAAACTAATTTTATGGCGTTAAATGGTTTACCAAGTACATTTTCACTTTCATTTATCTTTCTTTCTAAGAGACAATTTCTCAGGTGCAGTAGTCTATCACATAATTTCTTTCCCTCTCCCACTATGCTGAATAAAAGTTTCTAGTACTAACCACTTATATTCAGAAAGGGAAAATGGAAGTTCTAGTCAATGATGGGGAATCCCAGAGCCAGTTAGAGTGACTGTACTGTTTTTAATGCTGCCACAGGAAGAGATTGATGACTGTTGCTTACCAACAATGCATGTCACTTCTCTCTTCCTGTTCTAATCCCATTACCTGACACCTGAAGGTAGGAAAAAGACACACAATCATACCTACCATATACCCTGCAATGATGAAATGTTATTTCTGGCTTGCCCATTAATCTCTTAAGTCTGAGATGTCAAGCAGTGGCGGAATTTGCACAAACCTTTCAAGTGTTAATGTAACAGAACAAGTGCCTCATGCTGCTTTATTTCACGTAATACTGAGGGATCACTTGTCCCCTCTTCAGCCTCGTGCACCGAGTACTGTGACTAACAGGGCAATGTTGCCAGCAGCCCACAGCAGTGCTGTCATTCTGCATGAATTATTTGTGGTGCCTTTGTGAATCCTTCCTGTCCCTTCTAGAATTTTATCTTTTACATTTCTGTACATGGTGGAGGAAAAGAAGCCTGACTGAAGCCAGTGGCAGAACTCCTGTGTGAAGAAAAAGTTTTGAACTGCCTGTTTGGGAATTTTATGTTTTTAATGTGTGAAATTTTTTCCTTTTACTGAGAACATGACAGATCAATGAATGGGGAAGGTACCCAGCTGGCATTTTTTCCTGGGCTCTCTTCTAGTGCCTACTCAAGTACCCTAAATAAAGGGGTTTCACTAGAGGAGACAGACCACTGGGTCTGTCCTGCTCTTCCTCCTCCCATTCATTCTATTCTCTGAAAATAAGAGCTGGAGCAGTTCCAGGAAACTTGGATTCTTGCATGAAAGGCACCCAGTGCAAAGAGGACGGCTTCAGTCCCAACCCTGCTTTTAACACTCCCTCCAGACTGACCTGGGCAGCTCTGGGGGCGGGAGGAGGCCGATGGCCGTCACTCTCATCCTTTGCATCCCTTTTTTCCTTCATGCCCACAGAGAGGCTGGGTTCTTACCTGGCATTTGCCAATTCCCCTCGGGTGAAGGCAATTCAGATGCTGCAGTATGTGCATCCACCTGAGACTTGTGCTACACCAGTGAAGCCCAGTTTTCAGTTGGAGTGTTCACGCTAGTCAGATACTGTACAAAAAAAGGAGAGTAGAACTGCAATTTGTATTTGGCAAGCACATAACTATCAAAGCATTGATGAAGGTGGTAGCTGCCCAGGAGATAATACTGCAAATTACCCAGTGAAAAACATTTTAAAATGAAAATGTACAGAGCTTTTAATAAAATACAGAATAGTTCAAGTGAAAAAAAATACTTAAAAATTATATTCCAAAACATGCCAATTGAACGGCAACTTTAAAGTAACCTTTGCTGTCATCTCCCCTGTGCAACTTTCAGGTCTTTATCATCCCTTGGCCCCTCAGTACAGTCCCACAGTAAAGTAAACCTTCAGTTGGCTTAAAAAAACCTGACAACCCAGCCGCAAAAAACAACAAAAATCCAACAAAGCAAAATGTCGCAGCAGGCTGGCCGAGACTGCGAAAGCTCGGAGGAGTCTTGCCTTGCTGGTGGCGCTCACGCAGTGCTGCCACCTCCCTTCTCTAGGTGCCAGTTTGTTTTCAGAGCAATAAATACAATGTTAACTGCCAACACTGTGCAGAAATAATCCCTTATTTTTAGGTAAACGTAATCTTGGCATTTTTTTAAAAGAGGACAGGGGGAAAGCACCAGAAGAAAGCCTTTGTGTATCTTCACATGCCAAGAGTCCTAACAACAGAGCCAAAAATTTCCATAAACTGATGAGGCATTTAACATTAAAATATCTAAATTTGCAGTTTTGAAGAATAAATCAAGTTGAGTTGAAGTCACACCACATACCTGAAATGTTAACTATTAATTCCCTGGAAACCTCCTCACCTGATTTCATACAAATCAAATACTGCCACACTGCGTCTGCTTTTAAACATCCCTTGGATAGCCAAAGTGGATTTTGAGAAAGACTCAGGCAGTGGAAAATGCTCTGGGCCTGGATTCACCACTGCCACATTTGACACCTGGAAATGCTGTCAGAACACGGGGTAAAATTTTCTGTGACCCCAACAAAACCTCTACAGTACTATACTACTTAAATCTGTTCCACGTACTGGGTGGTACTTTTGGCAATATTTACAAGCCTATCAGCATGATGTATTGCCTTTAAGTGGTGCATTTTTTGCAGACATCCGTTGTCCCTAAACACCAATGTTAAAGCCCAATCAGGACCACTGAGAGTGCAGCCTGCTATCATGGCCAGTGGCTCCCCTAAGCTCATTCACAATTTATTTTCCCTGCTACCACCTATTTGGTCTCCTTACACAGATAAAATTAATGAAGACAAATACTGCTCCTGAGATGCTTCAAATCACAAGCTTTGTTTCAAAACCTAGTTACAAATGCTGACAGGAACTAGCCACAGCTGTCTGACACATTTTAAGCAAAAATCAGCCAGGGACAGCAAACGATCAGATTGTTAGGGACGTTCTTCAGCCATTCTTCAACACAAGGGACTGGGCAGGAACAGCTGGCGTGTCCCCAGGCACAAGGCAGCAAACCAGCTGAGCAAACCAGCTGCTCGGTCTGCCAGCTGAGATGATCCTGGATGCTCGAGGAAAGAAACTCTGTGAGGGTAATTCTGCAAAGATAGCTTTATTTGGGTACATACACGTGTACCAATGCAAACAGCATAGGTGTGCAGGGACAATCACAGCAAACGCCCAGGGTGACCAGGCACACGCTTCTCTTGACTCGCCCCAGTGACTAGAAGGCAGGATTGTCTCTTTGAAGTTGCTGGGAAAGTCTCTGCTGAGCAGACACAAAACTCCACTTTTGGAGGGCACTGTGCGCTCTGCTTAACTACAGGATGCACTCCTAAATTCTTACATCAAGGGAAGGTGTAAAAGTTCTTTCTCTCTCTTAAAAGGGAACAAAGAACTGATAGATCTGACAGTATGGGTCTCGCTAGAGGGCATCCAGTTACTAACGTGTGATGCTCATTTCCCTCCTCTGTGGCTTTTAACGATGATTGAAAGTAGGCTAACAAACACCATCCAGCTGGGGCCTGAAATATGCGGTTGGATGCCGAATTATTTTTTTCAGAAAAGAAGAACACAAGGCTTCTCACACAAAACAAGTGCAAACTGCTGTAATTATTAGGTGGTTGTTCAAAGCTAAACCCCCAAACCACACTTTCTGAAACTCCCACTCTCTATCAATAATTACTGACATCCTCTCAGGGGAGCGCAGAACTGCACTTGCCTTTTGCACAGTCCCCCTGAGT